CTCTCTCTCTCTCTCTCTCTCTCTCTCTCTCTCTCTCTCTCTCTCTCTCTCTCTCTCTTCTCTCTCTCTCTCTCTCTCTCTCTCTCTCTCTCTCTCTCTCTCTCTCTCTCTCTCTCTCTCTCTCTCTCTCTCTCTCTCTCTCTCTCTCTCTCTCTCTCTCTCTCTCTTGCTGTTATCTCTCACTCACGTCACAGTGATTAACTTGATTAATTGCAAGCAGCAGAAACGCACTAATGACATAATTATATAGAACACGACCGACGCATCACGTGACATTCACGCGAGGCATCTACATGCAGCGCCAAGTGCAATCTCACCATAGAGATGAAAATTGCTGTCTTGTTTGTTGTGGCGGCGCAATTTAACCCGATAGGAGGCAATTTAATGCAATCAAAAGCCGATAGTCACGTGATCACTGTGATGAGATTGCGCCAAGTCGTGACCATACCCGCAGACGTTCTTATGTTTTTATCAGGAAGGGATAGCACCATGTCGTGGCGATACTGGCGGACGTTCTTGTGTTTTATCCGTGACGTCTGCGTCGCCATGTTGCTTCTGTACTCGCGGACGTTCTTGTGTTTTATGCACGACCGACATCCACGTCATGACGATCGTTTTCGCACCGACCGACGAACGTTCTTGTGTTGTTTGTATTTCTGCAGGACGTCTGCGTCGCCATGTTGCTTCTGTACTCGCGGAAGTTCTTGTGTTTTGTGCATGCGTGCTTTGCTGACATCTGCGCAATGATACTTATTTTCCGCACCAACCGACGAACGTTCTTGTGTTTGTTTGTAATTCTGCAGGACGTCTGCGTCGCCATGTCGCTGCTGCTTTACTCTAGCTTCATGGCCGCCTTCATCTTCGTGTTGCTAGAGGTGCTCAGTACTCTGCTCATGGTGCTGCGGAGCCCCCTGGTGGCGAGAACCAACAAGCGGCTGCTGATGGCGGGATGGGGTAAGCATGCAGGCGTGGATGCGCTGCTGACAGGGTGACGTAGTCTGTGGGGTGGTGGGTGGGTTTGCATGCGTTGGTGGGTGGGTTTGCATGGGTTGGTGGGTGGGTTTGCATGGGTTGGTGGATGGGTGGTTTGGTGGGTAAATAGGAGGGCAAGAGGGGTAGCTACTGTCCATAGATTTTAGTATGATAATGTATTTATATATTTCCAATGATAAAGTAGAGGCGTTATAAGTATAAGTAACACTAAGATATGCGTAAATAAACATGTAGTCGTCGGTGACATCCTCCCCTGCACCCCCGCCATGCCCCACCATACTAACCATGTCGGTGACACCCTCCCCTGCACCCCCGCCATCCCCCACCATACTAACCATGTCGGTGACACCCTCCCCTGCACCCCCGCCATCCCCCACCATACTAACCATGTCGGTGACACCCTCCCCTGCACCCCCG